CGGCAATTGGGCAGTTAGAACCGTATCTTAAAAATCCTCAGAACGGAAGCTTGTAGGATTACTGTCGCGATACGATAAAGAAGATAACAAAAATTTTCAAGGTTTTGAATTCAAATTTCTTCAATATATTCACAAGTGCGATTAATACAAGAAATATGCACAATCGTACTCTGGCTGCAGGGAACATTGAGGACACTGATGGGATGAAAATTCAAGTCCATGTTATTTTTGAAAAGATCTGCAATGCCAATGTGCATACATCATATGCAAGTGGGAGACATGTTTTGGCCCTTCACCACTTGTGATCTTTGTGATGTTTGTAGTTTTGTTTATCGACTTGTAATCGAGCTTTTATTTTTTTTTAAAAAAAGAAGGTATTTAATATCAGTTGTAAGTATATTACTCATAGACCCCTGGGAAGTTTTGCAATGTTCGGTTGAAGTAGGTGTTTTCCCTGGTAACAAGATTTTATTAAGAGACCCAAGTGTTGAACATCTATTATGTTTATGATTAAGGATTGGCCTATGTCTGTAGTAGTGCTATATTACCACATGACAAGCATCTATTATTCTTCTCAATTCATTATAATTTTGATTTTTTAGATTTTGAGTAACACATTTGATTAACTAAAAGGTGAAAAAAAATAAAAATAAAAAGTTGACAAAATAAACAACTCATATATTTGTGTTGGCTGTAAACTTAGAAAGAGAAGAATATAAATGCAATAAAATTGTACGAGCATGAACTTATCTTTGTTTGAATTTTTACCTTGTTCTATTTTGACATTATTGATAAATTAAGTATTCAAGGGGAAATTCTACTTTTTGCTATTTTTTCTCAAAATTCAATAGTATTATAATTACCTTTATTCTTTATTTATATTACTTATTACTTCTCAAATATACTAAAAAATAAGCATATATGCTACAATACTTCCGAACGAAAAAAAAAAAAAAGAAAAAAAAGAACCAACAAATATAGAATGTGTATATGCACAAAAAACCAGATACCCGCGCGCATTTCATGGCGCCAAAAATCGCCCGCCCTTATTGAACCCACCAATAACAGGGCTGGCCCTTAATCGCAATCCTTAATAGTTTGATTTGATAGAACGGACTTTTTTAAAGCTCGAGTTTATCTCATGAATTTATTTAACTAACTTTTCAAATAAGTTGAAATTTTTATTTTAACTACCTTATCAACTAAATTACTAAATACTTTTATAATAGAAACTAGCTTTTCAATTATAAGTCATAAGTTATCAGCTACAAGCTCAAAATTCAGTTTAAAATTATCAGCTAAGTTTAACATAGCCTTACAATCATGTTCAAACTTTCATTAAAATTTGAAAGTTAGACATGAAAAAAATTAAATCCAAAAATCTTCAAAAAGAAGTCAATAGATTTACTAGCGGGCAATATCTCATGAGGTTTTAACCGTCGGATCACATACAATCATACACACGCATACACTCATACGAATGTGTAACTGAATTTTCTAAATTTAATCCGGGCATGTGTTGTTACCCGGGGCAAATTTTCACTAGTATTGGTTGGCTAGTAGAATTTGCTTGTAATCTATGGATTACTCGGATTGTTCTTTTGAGTTTTATTAATGAATTTCATGTTTGGAAAAAAAAAAAAAAGAGAAAAAATTAAAATTAAAAACCCATAATAGCAAAGCTATTTTCCCGCGAGAACTCCTTCCGACCACAAACATTCTCTTCCCGGCCAAAAACCACCTTCGTGGACACATATTATGCCACTGACTTTTATAACACTCCTATGATTCATCTCAACCATACAAACGTACCCAAATTCATGCAATTATTAAGGTAAGCAATGAATTGAATTTCCAAAGGCTCATATTGAGCTTTCATCAAAGTTTAATTGAAAATAAATAAATAAATAAACAATATTGTAATTTATGTACCGGAAAATATTGAAAGGCCCAAAGTTAATCGAAGAATTCAACTCACATATATATAGCATTAACGAGTGCCCCCCAAAACTGGGTGAGCTCTCCAAATCTCCTCGTCCCATAGGCCTTTTCCCTTCTTCTCTGCCCTGCATTTTGCAGGGAGAGTTTTTCAGAGAGCCACGATACATACATACATTCTCGATATAAAAAAGGCAAATCGGATAATCAATAATGGCGGGAACCGTGCTCGAAAATGACGCCACCTTTGCCAAGAACCTCACTAAGAACGTCCCCTCCAACCCGTCAGACGACACCGACACAAATATAAAGAAAAAGAAGAAAAAGAGCGGCGCTTTTGGAATCTTCCGAGCCGCCCTCCTCATGATGCGGAAGCAGAGTGGGCCCCGCAAACCGGCCTTGAAAAACACAGATTTCGTCATGAAGGATAAGGATAATGTTACCCTGCCAACGAACAACATTAACAGCACCAACAACAGTTGGACACAGTTCGTGGGGTCTGTGAGGCCCCTTCATCTCCAAGAGACAACACAAGTGCCTCCTCTGAAAGAGGAAAAGAATGACGAGGCGGTTGAGGTGGAATCCGTGGCAGGGTCGTCGTCCAGCAGGGCGATGAGTCAGTACGCGTCTGCATCGAGCCTGGTTGACCTTGACGAGAGCAGTGATGACGAGGACGAGGATCCAGATGAGGTGTTCGATGCGCTCACGGGGGATGAGATGATAGATGCCAAGGCCGAGGAGTTCATAGCTCAATTCTATAAACAAATTCAACTCCAAAAGACAACAGCCAGAGCCCACCACTACCACCACCACTACCATCACCATCGCCACCACAGCATGGGAATTTAAGTAATTGTACGTTATGGTTTGGTTTAATAAAGATTCGAGATGGAGGCCACACGGGATAGGTGCTCGGGCTTATTGGGTTCGTGAGAGGGAATCAGGAGAGAATGGCGTGAAACCGGTTTGTTTCATTTGCGGTGTTCTTTATTGGATCCATAGATGAGCTCAATCTGTGGCAGGAGACATTTTTTTTTCTGTTATTTTTCATTCTTTTTTTACTTTTCCCTTATATTTCCCTTTCTTTTCTGATTTCCCTCTATTTTTTCTGTTCTTTGTTCGTGAATGGTCACGAAAGGGATAGTTCATTTTGCATATATATTCAATATGGTTGTTGTATTTGACTCAGCGTTCCAGTGTCATTTTCATGTTGAAAGTACAACGGCCATTAGGATGGTCGACCCATTATTTATATTTAACAAAAATACATATATATGCTATAAAATATTATATATATATTTTTTTTTTTTTGGTAGAGTATAGCACTTTTTTTTTAAATAAAAATATTTGTTGAAATTATATGACGACTAAACATTAATTAGTACGCCGATTAATTAATGGACGAATTTTATGAATGAGATCCTCAAATTATGTAGTTCTAAACAAAAGAAAACAGTAGCCTGTATCAATCCTAGAATATTTGTTCGACTATAACAGAAATGCGCATCTAATATAAGCTCCAAATATACCTTAATCTATTAACATGCAAGGGAAAATTATAGAGAATTAAGAAGGCCATAAACAATCGCATGATCCTTCAAAATTGTCTACTAAAACATGAAATATATCAGCATAAGAAGAGAGAGAGAAAGAGGTAACCTGGGTGGGTTAGCTAATAGCCGTCAACAATTTCTGAGCACTTGTTTTTGATCCAACGAAGCCCGTTTGTAATGAGGCCTTAACCTTACCTGTGTACATCTTGTACCTGACTATCTTCTTCTTCTCCGGCCGGAGTTGTTTTCAGTCGTACGGGTAGCGGATCGACAACAACAATAATAATAATAAGCCTAATAATAATAAGCCTTTAATATGTGGATGAATTGAAAATTTGGATTTACAAATGACAATTTCGTAAAATCACAAGAGGGATTACCAACTTAATAAAATTGGAACATACCACGCAACGATAATAATAAGTACATTGAAAAAAAACAGTAAGTTAGCCCCCCCCAAAAAAAAAAAAAAAATCTCGTGTAAGTCATCCCAACTGTTAGGCGGGGATCCACCCGCTATCTCTATGTGATCAAAAATACATACTTAGACTATTAAGTGTTATACTTCTATTTATATTGTTTTATAAAAGTATGATTGTTTCTAATAAAAATGTGTACATTTGTTACAAATTATATCAGCCTAGTAGTTGGGGCAGCCTAATAGTAAACCAACTGTTAAAAAAAATATATATACTTCTGCCATGTGTAACCGAACAGACCCTAACACAGACTATAGATGTGATTCTTAAGCGTTCAAATTTTTAAAAAATCCACCCCGTTTTACATTCTCCATGGCCCTTATTTTCAATTTTTTTTCCTCGGCCCCAAATTAAATAAATGATGATATTGAATGTTTGTTAACAAAAGTTTTTTGCTCTTCATGTTATTGCCCACCTTGATCTAGAACTGTTGTTAGGTATACTATTGTTAGGCATGGGTAAACATTATAAACACATATTTTTCCCGAATATGCTTACTTTCATCATTTGGTGAGGTAAAACAGTTTGAAACTGCCTTTAACATCCACGAGCCCACTGATTTTTGCTGAGGCAGCAGCTAGAGTCTCCTCACTTTTGCAGAAAGCAAATCTGATATACCGTTGATGATCATGACCTGCAGTTGAATTTGCATGGAAAAATCCAGAGCCTGGTACTGCAACAACCCCTGCTTGCTTAATTAGTTCCTCTACAAGTTCCGCCTGCAATGTCAATCGTTTAAATTTAAAATATCATCTTGTCAAGCAACTCACCCCTTTAAAATTCAGTAGCCTATGAAACCCTGCAACAGTTGGAACTAGAGAAGGAACTAATCTTATGGCACGAACATAGATAAATAGTAATCCTCAAACTTCAGAAATGAATGTTGGATACAAATATATCCGCTCAAAACGAGTTTTTTTGGTTAACCAGAGTTAATTTTGAAAAAAGTGGTATAGTTGGTTGTTAGTGGGATTTTGAGTTTATACTAAAATACTATCTTAAATAAAATAATTAAATTGGTTTGATGTAAAAGTAGGAGAGAGATGATGTAAGTTTTGGTTAGTTAAAATTATGTGAGTGGATGAATAGTGAATTAAAGTTGATGTGATGTGTAAAAATTAACGATTGATATTATTTAATTATTAATTGATAATATTGAGAATAGTGGGATTGTGTTAAAGTTGATTTTGATTTTTATATTGTATTGAGTATATATAAACAAACACATCGTTAGAATAGTGCAACATGTCAACCAGTCACTCGGGTGCCAAAGAGACATTACAGAGAATGTAAGACAACCTAAGAAACCAGCCCAGATAGAAGTTATGGGCAATGGTTTATGTTTTTTCTTTTCATTAGGACGAATGGCCGTTGGCTTGCTTTACACCTGACATAGAAATATGAGCTAGAACGTAGCATAGTTAGATACTTACATCATTAAGAGGGCAACTTTCAGGGAGCCGTGCAAACACAAAAACTGAGCCATGCGGCTTGAACGGCAACTCAAATCCAATCTTGGCAAGCAAGTTGAAAATGTAATCTCTCTTTGATTCATAGTCCTGTGAATAGAGAAGATTTCCTATTACCACAAATCATAGATGACACATGTAGATTAGGGAAAGGATTTGATATTACAAGGTCGCAGGAATAGTTATATAATTGAAAAATTACACTTAGTCTAATCACAAAAACTCCAGATTTCTTATCTTTCAAAACTAAATATCCTCATAAACTATTGCAGACCCTATGAGGTTCTTATTAACGAACAAATGGCCCACTCCATAGCACATTTTGATAATAACTATTTTCTAATTGTCATTGTTGTTGTTATTAACCCCAAAATTCTACAATCATCACATAAGTGAAAAAAAATAATAAA